TATATTTACAGTCTGTTTTATTTTACCCTATTACTTTTAAAAAATAAAACTTTTTAAAATACAGATTTGTTAGATTTTTTATTTTAACCCTATAAACAAAGTAACATGATCACTAATGATACAATAAGATCATAATATTTTTTTTCAAAAAACCTGTGATTAACAACAATTTCAAAATACTGTGCAACTCACTAGGATTATTATAGCCTCGATGGCATCCCACCAGCAGCAATATAGGTCTCTCCTGTTATGTAGGATGCATCATCGCTACACAAGAAGGACACTACTCCAGCCATCTCATGGGGTTCAGCAATTCTGTGGTGTAAAGAATGATTCAATTTAACTATGACCTTTTGAATATAAGGTTATTATAATACTTAAAAGTAATATAGATATGAGTCTTTGAATTTTACTTAAAAGTTATGCTTTCTAAAAAGGATAAATATTATACAAACACAGTTGAAAGAATATATAAAATTTGTTTAAATGATACTACCTTCAAGAAAGCTCAATACACATAATGCTCGTTGCTGCATCCTCATGACATTCTAGAAGAGGGATATTCTATAATGGACAAATTTACTCCAACAATAAAATTGTCTTACCTTCCTAAAGGCACTTGTTCTGTTACTTTTTCAAGTACTGCAGCATTGTCAACCAACTGTTCATAAATAAATAAAAATGTTTAAATATAAACATGATGGGAAAGAAACATTTAAATTTATTCTGATATGAGCATTTTTCTGAATAAACAAGTCTAATCAAAACATGCATGGATGCACACATCCACACACACACACACACATACACAGAAAGATAAAATGCTGGTAGAACACATAACTAAATAAACAAATAATATAAGGACATCAGAATCAAGGACAGTCTTACCGCTGATGAAAATTTAGTTTTGACAATTCCTGGCGCTACACAATTGACACGTATATTATCTGATGCAACCTGCTGAGCAACAGCTTTTGTCAGTCCCAAAAGAGCAGTTTTGCTTACACTGTATGCTCCAAGTAACTGAAAAGAGAGAAGTAAAAAAGACAAAAAGAAAGAAAGAATAAAAAAGTAAACATAGCCATTCATACTATAACTGTATCACAATAACTATCTTTTGCATTTCAGAATAATATACTTATAATACAATATTTTGAACTTGGTAATCCAACACCAAAAATAAGCATACAGCAAAATCCTTTCCTAATAAATATACACATGACTGGCTATCAGGGAATGCAAAAAGATCTCACAGAAAATACTTACAGTCATAGGATGGAAACCCGCAATGGAAGACACATAAACAATGGCTCCTCCTTTCTGTTTCTGCATGTGAGGGACAACCAACTGTGACAACTGAAGAGCATTTTTGACATTCACTTCAAAGATTTTGTCCCAAACTGGTTCTGGACACTGTAATGAAATGAATGTAAAAGCTATATTATTTTGATATTGATGAGAGCACTTATCAAATGAAATAATATCTAAGGTAACTATATTTTGAATCTGAGGATGATTCCAAAATGACACTGAATAGACTTGTTCTGCATAAAGGAAAAGAAAAAATTACATAAATTAAAAACAGGGACATAACTTACATCGAGGACTCCTCCAACTGCTGGATTTACAGCCGCATTTGAAACCAGGATATCAATAGCACCAAACTTTTCAACTGTCTGTGGGAAATGATAATTTTCACTAATCATTAAATAGTATGGCTCATGAATTCCTGAATACATACCTGTTATGAGCTTATTAAAAATGAACCATATCTACAAATCTACCATTCATACAAACATCTATTGGTCACAGCACTTGTGATCAGTAAATTTTGTAATTTTGCATTACACCTTTGTGACAAAACTGAAGGCAAGTGTTTAGCATGACCATAATCTTCTACAAAAAGAAGCCTAAGTATTGTTGTGCACTTCATATATATATTTTTTTCTTCTTTTTCCTTCTTTTATTATTTTATTATATTTTTTAAAGATCTGTTGCTGTAGTTTCAGACCTCTTTACCACAAAGCATCTTATTTACATAAATTTTCCCAAGTTTATGAAAGGTTTGTCTGTTCAACAAGCTTGTTCTAATCACTAACAACAAAATTATTTCCCATTCTCATTTTGTAATGAAAGATGCATGTAACTGTGTATGCAAAGAAAAGACAAGAAAAGAAAAGAGAAAGAAAAAAAGAAAAAGAGAGAGAGAGAGAAAAGAAAAAGAAAATGAGAGAGAGAGAGAGAGAGAGAGAGAGAGAGAGAGAGAGAGAGAGAGAGAGAGAGAGAGAGAGAGAGAGAGAGAGAGAGAGAGAGAGAGAGAGAGAGAGAGAGAGAAAGGAGAGAGAGAGAGAGAGAAAGGAGAGAGAGAGAGAGAGAGAAAGGAGAGAGAGAGAGAGAGAAAGGAGAGAGAGAGAGAGAGAGAAAGGAGAGAGAGAGAGAGAAGAGAGAGAGAGGAGAGAGGGAGAGAGGGAGAGGGAGAGAGGGAGAGAGGGGGGGAGAGAGAGAGAGAGAGAGAGAGAGAGAGAGAGAGAGAGAGAGAGAGAGAGAGAGAGAGAGAGAGAGAGAGAGAGAGAGAGGGAGGGAGGGAGGGAGGGAGAGAGAGAGAGAGGAGAGAGAGAGAGAGAGAGAGAAGAGAGAGAGAGAGAGAGAGAGAGAGAGAGAGAGAGAGAGAGAGAGAGAGAGAGAGAGTGGGGGAGGGAGGGAGGCAGAGAGAGAGAGAGAGAGAGAGAGAGAGAGAGAGAGAGAGAGAGAGAGAGAGAGAGAGAGAGAGAGAGAGAGAGAGAGAGAGAGAGAGAGAAGAGAGAGAGAGAGGAAGAAAGACAGAGAGGAAGAAAGAGAGAGAGAGGAAGAAAGACAGAGAGGAAGAAAGACAGAGAGGAAGAAAGACAGATAGGAAGAAAGAAGAGAGGAGGAGGGAGGGAGGGAGGGAGGGAGGGAGGGAGAGAGAGAGAGAGAGAGAGAGAGAGAGAGAGAGAGAGAGAGAGAGAGAGAGAGAGAGAGAGAGAGAGAGAGAGAGAGAGAGAGGAGAGAGGGAGGGAGGGGGAGGGAGGGAGGGAGAGAGGGAGAGAGAGAGAGAGAGAGAGAGAGAGAGAGAGAGAGAGAGAGAGAGAGAGAGAGAGAGAGAGAGAGAGAGAGAGAGAGAGGGAGGAGGGAGGGAGGGAGGGAGGGGAGGAGGAGAGGGAGGGAGGGAGGGGAGGGGGAGGGGGAGGGAGGGAGGGGGAGGGGAGGGGGAGGGAGGGAGGAGGAGGGAGGGAGGGAGAGGGAGGGAGGGAGAGGGAGAGGAGAGAGAGAGAGAGAGAGAGAGAGAGAGAGAGAGGAGAGAGAGAGAGAGAGAGAAGGGAGAGGAGAGAGAGAGAGAGAGAGAGAGGAGAGGGAGAGAGGGAGAGAGAGAGAGAGAGAGAGAGAGAGAGAGAGAGAGAGGAGAGAGAGAGAGAGAGAGAGAGAGAGA